CTGGGGGGCGTCAGGGGGGCGTCAGGGGGGCGGAGTAGGCGGTTGATGGTGGAGAACAGTGTTCTGGGGTTGCTTTGCTGGGCACCGATGAGACGGGAGTAGTAGTGAGTCTTGGCGTGGGAGAGAGCTTCCTTATACGTTATGACATGGTCACGAAAGGCCAGGAGGTGGATCGTGAGGCCAGTTTTTTTTAGAGAGCCTCTCCAGCTGGCGACCAGAGGCCTTCAAACGGCGGAGTTTGGTGGTGAAGGAAACAGTTCGGGTTTTAATGGGGGCGAGAGAGTTGAGACTGAGGGATAGGGCAGTGTTGTAGTGGGCTACCAGGCCGTCCACGGTGGAGTCGGAGGGACCCGAGGCCATGTGGGTAGCTATCAGGTCGGATAGGGCCGGTGCACTCACAGTCTTGATGTTCCTAAACATAATGGAGCGTTTAGGATGCTGCCTGGGCAGGGAGACCGGAACAGTGAAGAGGATGGCGTGATGGTCAGATACAGCCAGGTCGAGGCGCTGTAGGTCGGGGGGCGGAGAGCCGGTAGAGCACACCAGATCCAGCGTGTGGCCTTTGATGTGGGTGGGGCCCTGGACATGTTGCTTGAGGCAGAAGCGAAGAATTAGGAGAAACCGCACTAAATGGGTGAAATCATGGATATTACAGCGAGAAGCTCATGGGGCGTTGTGATATTTTCCTCAAGCTTTGGTAAAGTGTATTCTTTGAATGCAGATTTGGGTTCTGCCCGCTTTGTATTAATGTCATGTGGATTTTCCTGTCATGTTGACAGGTTATCATCATGTAGGCGTTGATAAAAGCTCATTCTAATGTTGTGTTATGTGTGTATGAAGGTACGAAATAAAGTTTTGCATTGCCTATCCTGCTATTTGTGTTTATTCTTTTAATCACACAGCGATAAGAAACAATAACAATGTGCCTACATAACTGTCAGTTGCAGCCCTAGCATTAGTATTGGTTATAGTAACAGCTACAACATTAAAATACTTCTAGGCAGATTGAGGAGGATAATGGGAGAATGAACAGAGGGGCAGAGACATCCATCTGAATAATAATAATAACTTTATTTGTATAACACCTTTCATACAGGGGATTGCAGTTCAAAGTGCTTTACATCAGTAAGAATTAAGACATACAATCAGTGTAAAACAAGCAGCAAGAGCAAAGCATAAAGTGGGATAAAATAATGCAGATATATTATATACAACAGAGAAAAGAGAAGATAAATGACCTGCTATCAGGTCTAAAGAAACAGCAGGCCGTTTTACCCGGAGCCGAGATATAAGTGACGCAGCATTGAAAGCCAGCTATCTCATCGCTAACGAAATAGCATCAGCCTCAAAGCCATACTGTGAGGGTGAGTTCGTGAAAACATGCATGCTGAAGGCTGCAGAAATCGTGTTCCTTGAGAAGCGACAGGCTTTTGCCAATATTAGTTTAACAAGGAATACAGTGAAGGATAGGATTGCCGATCTTTCAGCAGATTTGGATAGCCAGAAAAAAACAAAAGTCAAGTCATTCGTAGCATTTTCAGTTGCAATCGATGAGAGCACTGACATTACAGATGTTGCTCAACTGGCCATATTCATTCGTGGTGTTGATGAGACTTTGACGGTCACCGAAGAGTTCCTTGAGTTGGTTCCTATGACAGACACCACTAAAGAGGATGACATTTTTAGCGCTCTCGTTGAAGCACTGGACAGGGTCTGAGTGGACTGGACCCGTGCTGTCAGTCTGGCTACAGACGGCGCACCATCAATGATCGGGAAAAAAGCAGGTGTTGCGACGAAATTCAGGGAGCAAGTGGAGGAGATCGTTTTTGGACATTCCACTGTATTTTGCACCAGGAGGCATTGTGTTGCAAGTCGTTAAAAATGGATCACGTCATGAAAGTGGTTGTCCAAACTATTAATTTCATCCGAGCCAGAGGGCTGAATCACCGTCAGTTCGACAGCCTCCTCAGTGATAAAGACATCACCTGTAGCCTACCATATCACACTGAAGTAAGGTGGTTGAGCCAAGGTGAAGCGTTTTTCTGATCTACGAGAGGAAATTGGACAGTTCATGGAGAAAAAGGGTAAGCCAGTGCATGAATTAAAAAACCCAGAATGGCTGCAGGACCTTGCATTTATGGTGGATATTTCAGAGCACTTGAATAATAATAATACATTTGATTTATATACTGTAGCACACTTTAAAAACAACGTCATCTCAAGGTGCTTCACAAAGCTATAAGGAACAATAAGTAAAAAGTTATCTGAAGGAGCATATTGGATAAAATATGGCAATATACAAATAAAAGGTTAAGAGCATAGAAATTTAATTTAAAAATAAATAAAGTAAAGGACAGTCAGTAAAATGCGGTGTGGAACAGGTGGGTCTTGAGGCATTTCCTAAAAACTGAGAGTGATGCTGAGGTCCGTATGTTCTCTGGAAGCTGATTCCACAGACGTGGACCCAGGGAGGAGAAAGCACGGTTTCCCATGGTGACCAGTTTTGTCCGCGGGACAGCCAGGAGATTGGAGCTGTCTGACCTGAGTGTGCGTGAGGTATGTGACTGTTTTCTGGTTAGCAGTTCCTGTAGGTAGGTGGGGCCAGTGTGGTTGATGGCGTTGAAGACCATTATGAGCACTTTGTAGTTGATCCGGTGTGTTACAGGGAGCCAGTGGAGTGAGTGAAGGATGGGGGTGATGTGCTCTGATTTGCGTGTTTTTGTGAGTATCCGGGCGGCACAGTTTTGTATATATTGTAGTCTCTGAGTGGTTTTTGCTGGAATGCCTGCAAGCAGAGAATTGCAGTAATCAATGCGGGAGGTGATGAAGGCATGGACCAGTTTTTCTGCATCCGGTTTGGTGAGGGAGTGTCGCATTTTGGAGATGTTTCTTAGGTGGTAGTATGAGGCTTGGCAGACCGTCTTTATGTGTGCTTGGAATGAAAGGGATGAGTCCAGTTTCACACCTAGGCTCGTTACAAGTGGGGAGAGGGGAATGGAGTGGCCATTGATGCTGATATGAGGGATATCAGTTTGTTGTGTTTGATGTGGTGTTCCAATCAGAATGGCCTCTGATTTGCTGCTATTTAGTTGGAGGGAGTTGTTGCTCATCCAGTGGTGTATGTGTTCCAGGCATCTTGAGACATTTGAAAGTGCCAGATGTTTATCCGTGGCAGTTTGGAAATAAATCTGTGTGTCATCAGCATATGTGTGGAAGCTGATGTTATGGCTCCTCAGTATTTGTCCCAGGGGCAACATGTAAATTAAAAAGAGCAGTGGCCCAAGGACTGACCCTTGGGGAATGATCTGAACAAAACACTGCAAGGTCGCAAAAAAGTTGTCACAGAATATTATGACAGCATACGCACATTTAAGTTGAAGCTGGCTTTGTGGGAGACACAGCTGTCAAGTGGTGACCCTGCTCATTTCCCTCATCTAAGAAATGTGCATATGACCGGAGTTATGCTGACATGAGTCGGTACAAAGACACAATTACGGAATTGCTGCGGGAGTTTGAGCGGCGGTTTCAGGTCTTTGGTGAGCTTGAGACAGAGTTTGCAGTTTTTCGCTCGCCATTTGCAGTTAAGGCTGCGGATTTGCCCGTCGACATACAACTTGAGATAATCGACTTGTGATCAGGATTTAAAGTACAAATTTGCCTCGTCGGACTTGGGCACATTTTATCGGTATCTGTTGCCAGGATACCCCACATTGACAGCCCTGGCAGCAAAAGTTTTGAGCATGTTTGGGACCACCTTCCTTTGTGAACAGGTTTTCTCTGTAATGTACATTACTAAAACAAAGCTGCGCTCAAGACTCACACACAAGTGCCTGAATGAAATAATTAAATTGGCTGCTAGTCAGGATTTTAAGCCTGATATTGATGCCTTTGAGAGGGCTAAAATATGTCAAGTTTCAGGAGCAAATTAATCAGTGAGTTGACCTACTGTTCTGTGGCCTCAGTTCTGTGAAAATAAGAACCTACTGAAATATTTGAACATTTTGTATTATTATGTCACTGAACATTGTATGTCAATCAGCAGCTTCATTAGGCAAAAAATAGTTTGGTTTGATGTAACACTGTGGCTGCACTGCCCCAACTTTTTTTTTTTTCAAGGCAAGGGAGGTAACTCAAACTCCTCACTTAATAGCTCCCACGTTTTTATTTGTATTTTGTGGTGAGTCAGTTCAGGTGGAAACTGTGATCTGCTGAAAAGAACATGTGTGTAGCACTTGAAATTGCACTTGTTTGTCTTAATACATTTCAGTTTGTTCATAACGTTTTGCGTCTCATTACATGTGGACATTTTCTGAATGTACTTGTAGCCTACTTATTTGCACTTAAACAGAAATATTGTCGTTATAGGGCCTGTGGGTTATTATGCTATGATTTTACTGGTCCGGCCCACTTGAGATCAAAGTGGGCAGTATGTGGCCCCTTAACTGAAATGAGTTTGCCACCCCTGCCAGGCTTAGCCTGTCAGATACAATCTTGTTAACCTCACAACAATAATCTAGTTTTCTAGTCCCATCTCATGTCTCATTGCTACAGTGGCATACAGCAGCAGAGAACTCTCATCAAGTTGCTACATTTTGGTTTGATTGTTGCATTGTTATGATGGGAGAACATATGGCTGATGACAGAGATATAAGCTACCCAGCATATTTCTGTTTTATCTACTCATTTATTTTATAGGTTTCATTCTTTTATTTATTCATTTTTGTCTTTGAGAGCGATCATTATTCATTTTGTTGTATGATATTGTTATTATCATACCTACTTTACCCCCTTGTGTCCCTTGAATTGTTATATTATGCTGTTATGCTGCATGTGTGCAAAAAGGTTTTAACGTCTGACCTGAAGGGAATTTCTTCTTCTCTGTTTTAGTTTGTGATGTGTAGAGGTTGTGAAAGCACTTTGAGCTGCACCAGGGGTATGAAACGTGCTATAGTATACAAAGCTTTATATATACTATTACTATTATTAACACCTTCTCTTACCTTCTCTCCGTGGGCTTGAAGCAGCCATAGCCTCCAGCTGCGGTCATCACTGGCGGAGGCGACGATAAGTTTTCGTGGATGGAGGTGGATGCAGCTGATAGGAAGCTTGTGGGCTCTGATGGAGTAGGACAGGCTGAGAGGGGTTTCCATGGTTTCATGTTCAGTTTCCGGCCCCCTGCTGCAGGTGGGAACCCTGGTGTCCTCTGAGTGTGGGGCCCTGGTGTCCTCTGAGTGTGGGGCCCTGGTGTCCTCTGAGTGTGGGGCCCTGGTGTCCTCTGAGTGTGGGGCCTCGGTGTCCTGATTCAGTGCTTTGGAGTTTTGAACTCTGTCTTTCTTTAAACTGAGGAGCATTTTCTTCCTGAGAGCCTCCTGAATGGTGTCCTCGAGCCGCCTCAGTGCCGGCCTGTAGGACTGCAGGTGTTTCTTCAGCTGGTGGAGGTCCTCCATCAGCCTGCTTTTGTGTTCGGCGACACGTTGGTACTGCAGCCGGTAGAAATCCCTCTCCCTTTGCGTCCTCAGCAGGCGCTCCCCTGCATGCAGCACTTCCTGTCTGAGCAGGTCTGTGTCTCTGTGCACATTGTCCAGCTGAGCCTGGATCAGCTGCCTGTGTGTAAGCGCATCAGGCACGAGGAGGACTCCTGCCCTCCTCAGGGTCTGGGTCATGAGTTTCTGCGCTGAGCCGTACCACTCCTCCTCGAAGCTGATCATAGTCCGGCCCAGGCCCGCTCTCTGGAGGACATTTCTCAGGAAGTCGTCCACTGCCTCTGGGATTTTGGGGACGATTTGTTGTTTAGATGGTCTAAGGTTTCTGCTCACAGCAGTGGGGGGGGCGGCCTCCATCAGCATCTCTTCAAAGGCCTCCTCCTCAGCACTCCTCATCGCCTCCTCTGAAAAAACCTCTGGTGCTCTTTCTGTTCTTCTCACAGACATTTCCTCTGTCTCTGAACTTCTTGTTTACCTGTTGCCATAGTAACTATGCAGAACATGTGAGTGTTGTTGTCCACTTTGTAACCATAGAAACTCTGCTACAACTGCTTTGTTTTATATTAAAGTTAAAGTTGTTAAGTATATATTATATTAATTGTATTAATGTACTTTCTATTGTTATGCTCTGTTAATTGCAAGTATATTTCAAGTAAGTAATCATGATTATGCGTTAATTATGCGGCAGTTTTCTCTCACAGGATTTTCTGAGTTTTATTAGCAAAGTTTTAAATATATATATAATATTTAATGACATTCGGGATTCACACACTCAGCATGCAAACCCAAACCAAAGCAGATAAAGATATTTGCACATGTCGCCGCCTGAGGGCACTGCGCCACCCTAAACTGTGTGTCACATGACTTGGTCACATGACCGCTGGGGAACCACAACAGGAAGAGAGTGAACATACTTCACATCTGGTTACATTAGATGTAAGAGCAGCACGCGCTCTCCTGTAACTTTAGTCTTTATACAGTAAAGCTGCTTCTGTGTTCCTGAAGTCACGTTCCTGAATCAGGGCGCACGCGCTGTTCTCTCCAGGAAGAAGCCCCCCCCCCCTCCCAAGAAGATATCTGGATTAACCGAGGTACGACCCATTAACACATTATTTAAGGCCTTTCTTGAATAAATGCTATGTAAAAGTAGTTTCAACAGATATGTTAAGTGTTATTCAGATTGGTCAGAGTAGCCTATATTTAAACCGTTCTTTGCTCCTCTGAGTGATCACTTCCGTTTGGTTAAATCTGTTTTTAGCGACGTTACTAATATAGGCTTGTTTCATGGATGTATAATCAGAACGGCTTGTTTGAGATGAGCTGCGGCTCGCCTCGAAAGTAGACGAGAATAGCTGATTGCAGCCGGGGGAGGTCTCAAAAAGCTCGCCTGTAGTCGGACAGCTCGGAGTCGGCTTGACTCGGTTTGCATTTATAAAGAATGCACAAATGTGTTTAATCGTTAAAGGTGGGGTAGGTAATTTTGGAGAAACCAGCTCGAGTGTGCTAGAATTTGAAAATACACAGCCGGAAAAAATCTGCCACTTCCTTACAGAGCCCCTCCTCCAACACACACGAACGCGCACATGACCAATGAGAGCACGAGATAAGTTTGTGCACAGATGGAAGGCTGACAGGCAGGTAGGCCATCCAGTTATTTTAGCCGGGCCGGCTAAAATGATTGGTCGTGCTTTTTACAGTACTACGGCTTCCACAGATGACATTTTTTTATGGATTTTTTGTCAAAGCACTTAAGATATTCATTGCTATCGGGATGTTAAGAGCATTCCATGGAATATAACAAAAAGTGTATCTCGAGCCGGTTTCTCAAACCACCTTTAATGTCAGATATGTACTAAGTAAATACATTTGTTCCTGCTCAAGATTAGATTCAACGTTATTGTTATTGCACAGATTACAGGTACTGAGACAACAAAATGCAGTTTAGCTTCTAACCAGGAGTGCAACAAGCAGTAAAGTGAAAAGTAATGTACACAATCTACAGAATAAAATATAGAATGAATTGAATGATGCATAAACAGTGAGGGGTATGAATACACTAGATCTACACAGTAGCCTATGAGCAGTAGGCTATGAACAGTATTAACAGTGTGTATGAATATGCTAAGATATATGAAGTATGAAAACGGTAAGCAGTGCAAGTATAGTATGAAATATATAGATATTCATTTAATGATGATAAACATTGTGGAACAATGATGAAAAATGTGAATGGAAGTGGCAACGTAAAACTGACACTAAACAACAACAAACTTTTGCGCATGCTCTGTGAGCGCTCATACGGGTTCTTCTGCTCTGATAGCCAGGCATGATGGGTAATCTGTGACGTTTTATGGAAGCAAACAAGAGACAGAGGCCGTTTCTCAATCGCGAGGATGCTGGCTTGGTAGCACAGCCGAGCATCTTGCTTCAGAAGCAAGGCAAGAATACTTCCTGGCATTCGGAAAACGAAGAGTGGAACAGGCTAGCAAGTGTGCAGGTGTGCGTCATATGAGAGGCCCCGCCTTACATCTTCCGCCACAGATTTGGGGAAATTGGTCCATGCGCAAAGCATTGTGGGGATTTTAAGGACGCGAAGTCTACCCATGTGCAGCCTCGAAATTTCCCTCAAACCAAGGACAAGGCCTCGGTGGAATTCCAAGTATGCTGGAGATTGGAACAGTCCTTCGGCGGCACTCGATGACGTAGCATCCTTGAAATATTGGCTTGGAAGCCAATATCCTCGCGATTGAGAAACGGCCAGAATGATTTGAATTTGATCAGACACCGAATTTGAAAATCATGTATCTGAATTTCTTTGCTCCGAATTTACCGATGTGAAATAAAAATCTGAGATATCTTGATACGCAATTTCAAAAGCTGAATTTCTATGTATTTGTTTCAGTGTTCACAAATTCAGTTCTAAAAATTAAAGTTAAAAAAATTCGAATGGTCAAATTCAGATCCCAAAAATTAAAGTTAAAACAAATTAGAATGGTCAAATTCGGTGCTTAAAATTCGATGTCAACAATTTCGAGGGAGCATCATCCGGGCTACCCAGACAGGATAAGCAATCGAGCCTGAATGCAATCGAACCGACTTCTGGCCTATCAGAGCACGGCTTTGTCAGTCATGTGATCAAAACAACCCAGGAGAAAGATGACGGAGAACAGCGGGGTAAGTAGTCAGTTTGTGCTGTTTATTTTACAAGCAGTGAGGGCTCGACAGCATTTGAATCTTACATTAGCTAGCTAAATGAGTGATATAGCCTTGTGCCTTTCTGTCAGTAAGCTCCGTAGTTATCATTAATTTAAAGTGGCCCTATCATGCTATATTATAATAATATAGTGTAGGACAGGGGTCACCAACCTTTTTTAGGGTGAGGGCTACTTTAAAAAAATAAAACAAGTCGGGGGCTACTTTTACTCTTTTGCAGTGTATATATTTAGCACATTTTAACATTATGATATGCTGACCTTTAACCTTTGTGTGCTGTTTGGGTCTGTGGGACCCACTTTCAGTGTTTACTAAAAGAACATGTATGCAATTTAATTATTTTAACCTGCTTTATTTGGGGGTGGACCTCACCTCCTCTAGGGGGTCCACACCTCCTCTAGGGGGGTCCTCACCTCCTCTAGGGGGGTCCTCACCTCCTCTAGGGGCATGCACCCCCGGGAAGATTGTTTTTAAATGTTGAAGTGAAATGCATCAATCTGGTGCACTTTGAGCACAACATGAATTGATGGAAACAGCTCTCAACACTCAGATGAAAGAGAGCTGTATACTTTTCAATAATCCAAACATCTTTAGAATATGATCACAACCAATAACAAATCATTTAAACTTGTTTATTCTTATCTTTTGTTAGCTAGTTAGCATTCTTTCTTTTTATTTATGCTTATTTTACTAATCACTCCCCTTTCAAACAGTTTTTTGTTTTTTTTACTGTCCTATACACATTGGAATGATTTCTTACTTTATCTATATTAAATAGATAAAGGTGTGCTCTCCCTAGCTCTCTCTCTCTCTCTCCCTCCCTCCCTAGCTCTCTCGCTCGCTCTCTCTCTCTCTCTCTCTCCCTCCCTCCCTAGCTCTCTCGCTCGCTCTCTCTCCCTCTGTCTCGCTCGCTCACAGAGGCTGTATGCTCATCCGTGGCGATGATCCCGCCTGACGGTTTTCAAAGTAACGTTACGATACATAACGTCTCACTTCGGTTAGTTAAGTCAAATTGACTTGGTTAAAGGGGGTGTAAGAACATCCATAAGTTGTTAGAAGTAATCGTGGTTAATGTAGTTTTCAGATAATTTACTTCAGTAAAAGTAGACCATGCTACACTATACAAATACTCTCTTACAAAAGCCCTGCATTTAAACATGTTAATGTTACTTTAGTAAAAGTATGCTAGTATAATCAGGAAAGTGTTGTTAAAGTATTTAAAGTAGACACAAGTTATACTATTATATTATATCATTTGTTTTTTTATTAGGGCCCGAGCACGGAGCGCTAGGACCCAACGGCGTCCTAGCACGAAGTGCGAGGAACCTATTGTTTTCCTACGTATTCCTATTATTATTTTTCTGCTGGCGTTTCCTGTTTTTGAGGCCTTTAGGACGCTTACAAAGTTGTATAATTTTGCACGGACGCCAGGACTGGTGAAAACTACAATATTCTGGAGTCTGTCAACCTGCTCACTAGCGCCACCTATCAAAATCCCATTTCGGAATACATTTACAAAGTCGCACCGTAACTCTGAATGACCTGACATTTTGCACACATATCCGGGTGGACCTGCTCTACAAATAATCCTCTTGGAACCCTAAGCTCCGCCTACATTATTTTAAATTTAAATTAGCATAATGTTCAAAACAGTTAAATATTCACTTAAATTTCAGTTTTTCAACACCAAACTTCGTATACAGCATCGGTGGCGGGTCAGACACATTACCGTAGAAAATGAGCATGTTAGGACGATAAATATTGCCGCTGTCAATCAAAACGTACTCGCAAAAAGGCGGGGCTTAGAAAGAAATGCTCATAACTCATCAATAATGTATCCATATATCACAGATTTTGGTGGATAGGTTCAGTCTGTCTTAGGGAATAGGCACACTAAAGCATTTTCATTTTGGACTATAGGGGGTGCCAAAAACACCTCCAATTTATAACTCAAGAACGGATGGACGAATTATTATTATTTTTTTTACACATACTCTGGGGGTGACTACGAACTCGGATTTAAAGTGTGGCAACAAATTCAGAATGTGGGCGTGGCCTATACATTTTTTTTTAATTGCGATAGCATAAAATGAGCTTCGGACGCAAAACTTGGGACACACGTCAGAGCCCACGACCTTTTCGAGAATGTAAAAAAGAAACGTAATTTTTCAAAAAAACTGCTCACTAGTGCCCCCTATTGTGTGGTAGTCACATATAGTTTCTCAGAACTTAACGAATTTTGGCACAGACATTCCTCATGGAATTGCGGACATATTTGTAAATAGCTTCCATTAGCCCCGCCCCCCAGGAAGTCGGCCATTTTGAAAAATGTGCGTTTTTCATGCATTTTAAGCACATTCTTGCGAACTCCTCCTAGGGGAATGATCGGAAAAATTCTAATCCAAGACAAGTTCAGCCCCTATCCAATATGATACTTAATTGCGGAGCTCATTTTTGAAAAATCACTCGTGGAGGTCGTAAGCTAACAGCGAATACACCATTTTTGACGATTTACATGTCGGAAATTGCTCCAAACTTCTCGCATATAGTTTTTCCGATATTCACGAAACGCTGTATACACATTGCTATTATGATTGCACACATATTTCAAATTGCTTTTCATTAGAAAGCTGGCCATTTTGAAAAATGTGCGTTTTTCATGCATTTTAAGCACATATTTGCTAATTCGTCATAGGGAAATGATCGGAAAAATTCCAATCTAGGGCAACTTAAGCGCATATCCAATGTGATGCTACATTGCGAAGGAATAGTTGATCGCTTGAACATGGAGCTCTTAAGCTAACGGAGAATGTACCATTTTTGACCATTTATATGTCAGATACTACCTTAAAGGGGACCTATCATGCAAAATGCACTT